CAAGATAAGCACCCTGACCCACTCCAGCAGTGGCTATCCCAGCCGCGCGGACCATACTCCACAGCATCAATGTGATGGACGGCAAATATGGCAATTTATTACAGGGAAACTTAACATTTTATAGCCTGGGTTCACTGTGTTACTCCCATCTGCATACGTCACACCTAGGTGCTATTGGCTAATTGCAAGAGAACTTACTATCTTAGCAGAGTGGGGGTCTGCTAGCTTTCCGTTACATCCCGAGTTCTTCCGCAGCGCCAGGCCCTAACTACAACAGGGGAGAACAGCCCAGAGCCCAGCCACACCATTAGCTTTGCAGCAGGGCCAGGAGCTGCAGTTGTTTTGGGTTTGCCATGGGGTGCAGGAGGAGGCAGATGGACAACAGCTTTGGCAGACTGAATGTCCAGTCAAAGGCTTGGGTACTTGGTCTCAGCCTTGCTGAGAAAGGGCCCCGTGTATCCCTGACAGGAACTGATGTTTTTACTGAAGATTGAACAGGTCCTGATTTGGCTTTTTAGCTGTGCCAGAAATGATGGGATACTAAGGAAGGGTGTGCATCTGTCCCTGCTTCCTCCACCCCCCTTCCTGGTCATGGCATGGGAGCCCTGGCGCAACTTGGGCAGGCAGAGACCTTGCATTGAGCCACAGATCAGAGAGCTCTGCTGAACTTCCTAAATGCCAGTGAGTCTGAGATGCTGGATGTGTGGGAGCTGGAGAGCTCTGGGCATCCTGAGAGCTCAGCAGCATCTTGTCTCAAAGGCTGCTGGGGAACTGTAGGAGGGAAGGGCAGCAGCAGAAGGAATGAGGGGCTTGAGAAAAGCAGGTTTTGCCATCCTGCAGAATGGCTTTGTGGGGACGTGGCTGGAGATCAGCAATGGTTGTTAGGTGCTTTAGGGGCAGGGAGTTTATAGGGATATAAATGCCTTCCCATACATCCAAAAGGCCAGTGGAGGCATCGTCACCTGAGAACATCTTGATGTCAAACCTGTGGATGATTCCCAGCTGGGAATGCAGTCACACTCGTACAGAAGTGAGCATGAGGGGAGAGGTGGTAAATGTGTGACATGATCTCTCCCCCACCACCTGCCTGTCCTAGGGCACCATTCTCCATCCTGGGCCAAGCTGCTCCATCAGTCTGACTGGTCAGACGCTGCCAGGTCCCAGTGAAGTCCATCGCTGAATGTCTTGGGGCATGTGTGGGAGCAAGACTGGATGCGTAAAGTGAGCACTGTGTTCTACTCTTTGCAGGCTTCCTTGCTGTATCCCACTGAAGGGGATAAGAAGAAGGAATCATTGGGACTGTCTTTGATCCCCCCAATACTCAGGGAAGTAAGTCCCGATGTTGGCAGTGCTGCAGGGTCTCTGCAAAGCTCTCTGCAGCTGGATGTGCAAGAGTCCCAGGAGATGAGGTAAGCCAAGGTGTCTGCTGCTCCAGTGTGCTGTTCACCTCGCTCTTCCCATCTCGTGAGGTTATTTTGCACAGTCACCTCTCCCATGTATTTAGGCAAACCTCTGTGTATTCAGCATTTGGCCCTATCTGTGGTGATCCAGCCCAATGTCAAACCCAGCACCATATGGCCCAAGAGCAGAGGTGGTGGTGGTGGGGAAGAGGTGGCAGGGCTGAAAAGCTCCTCAAGACAGGTCCTCTTCTGGACCTGGCTGTTGATTCCCTCTGTAATGTTTGTGGTGTCATTTGGGAACTGTATTGCATGGGTCTGGATGCTGCAGATCTTTGAATACTGTCATCCCTCACTTTCAACTTCTGCAGCCACATTAACATGTTTGGGCAAATATTGGCTACTTTAGAAGTGTCTGCAAATTTGGGTGTTGTTTCTGTAAATATCAGATGTAACTTTTCTGTGCATGGATCCTTACTGTGAAATGAGATCCCAGATATGTTTTGGGGTATAGATGTATAATCTGATCGACATTTAGTATTTTTATGAGGGCTTAAGATCAACGAAGGAAAGTTGCTAGAGAAGAGTAATAGGACTATACCTGATGGGAAGATATTGGCTTGGAGAAGTGTGAGAAAATGTATCTGGTCAAGCCTGTCTGAGAGATAACAATAACGAAGGAGTCTCAGAACTATCACTCACATTGAAAATCTTCTGTAGGGCTTTTAAAGTACAAGCTGAATATCTTTACTTAGCATATGAGTGTAAAAAAGTCTTTTTCTTCTTGAAAGATCAAGGAGGTGTAATATCATTCTCAGGAGACAGCAGTGCTCTGACCACATGGAGCACAAGACTGTCACCAGTGTAAGGCACAAGCAGGTAAAGTCAAGCTTTGCAGCAGTACAAAAGGAGCTGCCCTCCATAGAGACTCGTGTCTCAGCTCAGCAGCTCTTGCTGCTTCAGAGGGGCTGTAGGAGCCACTTGGCTCCAAAAGGAGAGACAGCAGAATTGGGGGGTTATGATGCAAGTTGAAGAATGACTGCTGTGTTTCAGCCGGAGCTTGGCCAGCTCTGTCTGACTCCAGCAACTGAGAGCTTAAGGACAATGAATCAGCTTTGCATCTTGTTTAGTTTCTGTGTTGCATTTCCTCCTTCATCAGAGTGACCAAGCTAAGAAGGTTTACCTCCTTTCATGCTTCACGCATTCCCTCCTTTCTCTGTCTTCCTCTTAACACGTTCTTTTGTCCTCTATTTTCTCAAGGTCCACATCCGGCAGCAGAAGTGAAGATGATGACTCTGAAGAAGGAGGTAGGTACAGGACATGTCTGTCCTCAAATGAACATTTGAATTTTGACTCAGAGGTGACTTTTTGAAAGCTTGGTTGAGAATAATTCTTTTAAAAATATTTTTAGTTCATTACAATACCTTGATTGACTCTATGGGTTTGGCGGAATCCTAGTCACTTGGAGTGTGCTGTGGTGGTGCAGTGAAAATTCCTCCAGTGTGAAGTGTTGTGTTACTGAGCTGGAGTGGTACCTTGGGGCCCTGGAAATGCAGTGCAGGAAAAGGAAGCATTCCTCTCAATCCAGCACTTGCCCTTCATCTCCCTGCAGCATTTCCAGTATCGTAATTCGTAGAGAAAAGGTAGGCATTGAGCATGAAATGGGAAACGTTCCCAGTCTTTTGTCTTGCCCTTAAAGGAGAAAACCTTTCCTTGGGGCACTTTCTGGGCTGAACCCTTTGAGATCTGAAGGAGATCCATGGACATTTCCTGGTTCTGCACTGGGAGAAACAGGGAAACCTCCTCTGAGGGAAAGTCCTTGTGAAATTTCCAATTGAGGAGAAGGAGGTTTCCAAATGGATGCAGCCTATGCAGGGACTGAGTTTGTCATCCTCTGAGAGCACAAGCCCAAAGCCACCTATGGCAGGTTCACCATGACAAATCTCTTCCCCGACTCTCTCTGCCTGGGTCAGTGCTGCAGGCTGAGGCTGCAGGAGGAGATGCCTTCTGCCTTGTCCCTCCCTGCCTGCCTTGCCTGATCCCTGACAAGTAGAATTGTGCCAGACAAAATGCAGTCTCTGGTGCATCTGTGTCAGCCAGTGCTTTCAAGTTGAAAGCCTCAATGAAAGTCTGTTGTTGTTCCTTTTTCATCTCTGGGCATTTACTGATAGGAGAGATGAGACTTGAAGACATAATTTTGCTGCTGCAGGAAAAGGGATCAGATGTCCTGGTCCCTTTGCTCAGGGTTTGTTCTGCCAAATCCTGGGTACAGCCCCTTTGGAAAGACTCCTTAATTGCTGATATGCAGCTGCAATGCTGAATGGAGATGGGGAGAATTACTGCTCAGTATTGCTCTGGTGACATTTTTGCTGGTTTGATTCTGGCCTAGAAATTACCTACCTCATCAAAGGTTGTCAGATGCTCTTTTGTAAATGACGTCACCATTGTACTGGGATAAAGAAACACAGATTTTTATCCGTGTCTTCTTTTTATGCTCTACACTCTGCTGTTTGCATTTAGGAAATTCTTAATGGTTTTTAACTGCCATGATCAGAAATGTTTTGTTGCAGGTGATCTTTGTGTCGGTATTTGGCAGGAAAGCAAGCAGGGAATAAACCCCAGGGGCAGGGAATCTGAGGAAATTGCAATGTGGGAAAACCAGTATGTTCGCTCCACATTTGGGCTCCTTGAACACTGAGGACATGTGAAGGGGAGTACAAAGGTTCATTCACTTCTAACATGGGGTGCCATTGTTCATGTGCCAGCACTTCCTTTGCTGTGAAGAGAAATAAAAGCAACCAACAAAACCCCACCCTGAACTGAGTGGGAGTTACAGAAACAAGGGCGATGAAAACGAGCTTTGGAAAGCAATGACTTCCTAGGTGTAGTTGTCAAATTCTGGAGACCACTGTGTCTGGCATCTCTTTGGAGGAAGGAAAGAGGTCCAAAAGTAGTGGATGGGCAATGAGCAACACATAAGCAAAGTAGTAGAAGCTGTGTCTCCTGGCTTGCCAGCTCCATACCGTTCAGTGGAATTATAGTGATGTTAGTTTCATGAAAAATAAAAAACAAAGAGATCATAATTCATAATTCCAAACCCCCTGGATGGCTCATGCATTAGATGGATTGATTGTAAAGGTGGGAGTTCACCTAACTCACTTCTTCCCTTTTGAGCATGCCTCAGCCATGAGATAAGGTGGGAGCTGGGCTGCTCTCTGGCAGGAGGAAGGGTCTTGTGCCAGCCTAGGGAGCCTGTGCACATCCCCAGGGAACAGTTCTGCCCTGCATGTGCCCCCTGCAATGAGCTGTGCTGCTGCCAGTGCCCCGTGCAGCTGTAGGGCTGCTCAGCTGTGGGGCAGGGACAGGAGCAGGAGGCTGCATGTGCAGCTGAGCCATGGCTGCAAAGCCCAGGGCTCTGGGCTCCCTGCTGTCCCAGGCCAGCCCAGAGGCCAGGCTGTTCCTGTGGGAGCTCTGTGCAAGCGGGACAGGACTTTTCCTCTGGAGTGCTTCAAGGGTCTTCATGCCTGGAAATGTCAACTTGTGCAGCTATTTAGAAATATTCAGGAAGTCTCTCCCACAAAATATGGAGCTTCAGATGCTTTAGATTTGCTTTGCCGCCTCAGTTACATTTTTTGTTTCTTCTTTGCAGGGCTGACTAGGTTCATTTTTTCTGAATCTTTCCGGCTATCTCCTTCTATGCTCCTTCCCTCTGCTCCGTTGCCTCCCATCCGGAAAACCTCTCAGTCTTCCAACAGAAGAGAAATGTGCAGCTTTGAGAAGGAGAGTGGGAAAAATGGCAGTGGCTATGAGGAAGACACCAGAGAAAGAGAGGAGCTGAGGTCAAAAGGAAAAAGTTGTAAGGTAAGGAGACCAAGCCATGTCCTGTGTGGGAGATTTTCAGTCGATGTGCTGCCGGCAGAGCTTGGAGAGCTTTCTCTGTGAAGTGAGCCCAGGGAAGCAGCTGAGCCAAGGAAGAACTCAGCTGGACACTGAGCTTCAGGATGTCTTTGCAAAGGGTGTGTGGTGCAGACTTCACATTTTCAGTGTGTAACAATAGCAGGAGAGGACTTTGAAGGGTTTCTGGGTTCTCCCTCTGCACTTCCCTTTGCATTCCCAATCCTGGCCCAAGCTGCTCCATCAGTCTGATTTCTGTTCTTCTGCCAGGTTCCAGTGAAGAACATGGCTAAATGTCTTGAGGCATGTCTTGAGGGGGACAAGACTGGATACTTGATGTGAACACTGTGTTCTACTCTTTGCAGGCTTCCTTGCTGTATCCCACTGAAGGGGATAAGAAGAAGGGGTCACTGGGACTGCCTTTGATCCCCCCGATACGCAGGGCAGTAAGTCCCGATGTTGGCAGTGCTGCAGGGTCTCTGCAAAGCTCTCTGCAGCTGGATGTGCAAGAGTCCCAGGAGATGAGGTAAGCCAAGGTGTCTGCTGCTCCAGTGTGCTGTTCACCTCGCTCTTCCCATCTCGTGAGGTTATTTTGCACAGTCAGCTCTCCCATGTATTTAGGCAAACCTCTGTGTATTCAGCATTTGGCCCTATCTGTGGTGATCCAGCCCAATGTCAAACCCAGCACCATATGGCCCAAGAGCAGAGGTGGTGGTGGGGAAGAGGAGGCAGGGCTGAAAAGCTCCTCAAGACAGGTTCTCTTCTGGACCTGGCTGTTGATTCCCTCTGTAATGTTTGTGGTGTCATTTGGGAACTGTATTGCATGGGTCTGGATGCTGCAGATCTTTGAACACTGTGATCCTTCACTGTCAACTTCTGCAGCCACAAGAATATGATTGGACAAATATTGGAAATGTTAAGGTGTCTTCAATTTCCTGTGCTCATTCTTTAAAGTTAGGTGCCATAGTTCATGTGCCAGCATTTATAAAACAACATTTTTTTTTAAAACAAAATATACTGACAAACCCCAACACAGAACTGAGTGAGAGTTACAGAAACAAGGGCCATGAAAACTAGCTTTGGGAAGCAATTACTTTCTAGATGTAACACAAATTCTGGAGACCATTGTGTGTTGCCAACTGTTTGGAAGAAAAGGGATCCCAAAGTAAACCTAAGGTACAACTTCCCTGTGCCTGGGCCTCCACTATGAAATGAGATCCCAGAGAAGTTTTGGGGTACAGCTGCATAATCCAAGTGATGATTAATATTTCAATCTGGGCTTAAGATCAAAAAGAGCGAGGTGCTGGAGAAGAGGTACAGGACTGTAGCTGATGGAAAGATATTGGCTTGGAGAAGTGTGAGAAAATGTAGCTGTCAAGCTTATCTGAGTGGTAACAATAACGAAGGAAAAATCACAGAACTCTCATTCTAATTGAAAATCTTCTGTAGGGCTTTTAAAGTGCAATCTCAATATCCTGTCCATAGCAGCTGTGTGTGAAAAAGTCTTTTTCTTCTTGAAAGAGCAACGAGGTGTAATATTATTCTCAGGAGACAGCAGTGCTCTGACCACATGGAGCACGAGACTGTCACCAGTGTAAGGCACAAACAGGCAAAGTCAAGCTTTGCAGCAGTACAAAAGGAGCTGCCCTCCATAGAGACTCGTGTCTCAGCTCAGCAGCTCTTGCTGCTTCAGAGAGGCTGTAGGAGCCACTTGGCTCCAAAAGGAGAGACAGCAGAACTGGGGGGTTATGATGCAAGTTGAAGAATGACTGCTGTGTTTCAGACAGAGCTTGGCCAGCTCTGTCTGACTCCAGCATCTGAGAGCTTAAGGACAATGAATCATCTTTGCATCTTGTTTAGTTTCTGTGTTGCATTTCCTCCTTCATCACAGTGACCATGCTAAGAAGGGTTGCCTCCTTTCATGCTACACACATTCCCTCCTTTCTCTTTCTTCCTCTTAATATGTTCTTTTGTCCTCTATTTTCTCAAGGTCCACATCCGGCAGCAGAAGTGAAGATGACGACTCTGAAGAAGGAGGTAGGTACAGGACATGTCTGTCCTCAAATGACCATTGGAATTTTGACACAGAATTCGTATTTTGAATGATTGAGTAAAAATAATTCTCTTCAAAAATTCTTCAATTTGATTTCACTTTTTTATTGGGCTCAGTGGGCTCCTGAAGAGCCCAATCACTGGGAGTGTGCTGTGATGGTGCAGTGAAAATTCCTCCAGTGTGAAGTGTTGTGTGGCTGAGCTGGAATGGTACCTTGGGGCCCTGGAAGTGCAGCACAGGAAAAGGAAACATTCCTCTCCATCCAGCACTTGCCCTTCATCTCCCTGCAGCATTTCCAGTGTCACAGTTAGTAGAGAATAAGCAGGCATTTATCATGAAATGGGAAATGTTCCCAGTCCTTCGTCCTGCCCTTAAAGGAGAAAACCTTTCCTTGCAGCAGTTTCTGAGATGAACCTTTTGAGATCTGAAGGAGATTCATGGACATTGCCTGGTTCTGCACTGGGAGAAATAGGGAAACCTCCTCTGAGAGAAAGTCCTTGTGAAATTTCCAATTGAGGAGAAGGAGGCTTCCAAATGGAAGTGGCCTATGCAGGGTTTGAGTTTGTCATCCTCTGACAGCACAAGCCCAAAGCCACCTATGGCAGGTTCACCATGACAAATCTCTTCCCTGACTCTCTCTGCTTGTGCCAGTAGCCCGTTCATTGGGAGGATATCTAGGCATATGTGCCTTGCTGCTCTCATACACAATTGCTATTTCTTATGAGAGCTCTGCTGTCTGGAATCTTTCTTGCCTGTTGCCCAGAATGGTGTTTTTGAGGGCTTGAAATCTGTCAGAGATTTACACCAACCTTTCTTTCCATTCCCAGGCCTCCCACTGAGCCAAGCCAAGGGGACAGATCGTCCCACCAGTCCTGGTCATATGAGTGATGAAGACCTGAGGGACAGCTCTGGAAAGGTAAGGGTTAAAGACAGGGATGAGCAGACTTCCTTTCCTTATTGCTTGGCCCCAAATGTCACTGATAATCATAGTCTTCCATTCCTGAGGGATGGGGATTCTCCTGGGAATATATTTGCTTTTTAAAGAGCAATTGTGTGGCTTTTACTAGTGGTGAAAAGGTGACTGATTTGGAGATGGTGCTAAGGTCATGCTAGAAGCATTCTTTAGGTGCCAAGGTCATTTTAGAGAAGTTCTGAATGGCTGAGCAAGCTGCAGACTAGTGAATGTGTGCAAATTGCACCCTCAGGAGCAGAGAAGCAAAGATTGTAATGTTAAGCGTAAGTAAGGCTGAAAAATAAAATGAGAGTTTGATTTTTCATGGTAACCTTTCTGGCTGTATCTCACAGCCCTCTCTTTCTCAATTTTTCTGCTCATTAATATCAATATTTCTGGAAATTGTTTTCACGTGAGTCCTTTCCTTGAGGTCCTTCAGAGACCTTTAGAGCTGAGCTCTTCAGAAGCAAGGAAGTGAGAACAGCTGCCATTCCTGGCCATGAGTGTTAAGCAAGAGCAATTACCCCTCCTTGCTGCGTATTTATTGCACATGGTTTTTATTCTGCTGCCATGGCCTGTAGGAACTGAACTGCCTGCTCTCTGGTCATGTGAGCTCTTCACCTGTCTTGGAGCACTCGTATGACTTTGGTGCTTCAAGCAGGGCTTCCTGTCATAGGT